ACCACCACCACCACAACAACCACAACCACAGCCACCACAACCACAACCACCCCAACAACCACCGCAACAACCACCGCAACAACCACCGCAACAACCACCACAACAACCACCACCACCACCACAACAACAACAACAACAACCACAACACCAACACCAACAACAACAACAACAACAACAACAACAACAACAAAGTCAACAACAACAACAAAGTGTTAAGTGCAAACATTACCACAACAGAGGAAGTGAAGAGAAGTTGATTGAGCTAAATACCACTCCAGCTACTTCTTGAAGTAGCCCCAAAAGACCACTGAAATATTGAAAGCGGTCAACTGGCAATCCATTCCATCCATGAGATCATAAAGAGCCAGTGTGAAGTATTGAAAATGTTCAGACTCTGAGCTGCCAGGACGGCCAAATGTCATATTCATACATCAGAATCATAAGATGGTTATTGCACACATTTGGGTGACCTTTCTCAGATAATCCAGTGTTCAACAATTATCTCAGAAACTGACAGAAAGATGCTTCAGACTCTCAGCGTTCTGTGTTTCATTACGCACAGGAATCCCCCGGAAAACATCATGAACACCTTCGTGAAGTCTTGTCCGAGTTGAGGGAAAGTAAATTTAAGGTAAACCCGAAGTGTGAATGGGCCAGATAGCGGTATGTAGGCCATGTTGTTATGTGCCTGATGGAGCACAGCATTCACATGTTCCCATACATGCTCACAACCAGAGATCTTGGAGAGAGCAATCAACGCCACACCAGATGCTGAAGATACACAGCGGAAGCACACAAAATCCAAAAATAGAATTGAAGAAATCAATTATCAATTAACACCCCGCTCTCGCCAGCCAATCAGATCACAGTCTCCGAGAATCCCAACCACGTTATTAACACCCAAGAACCAATTATATACAAGGTTTCACCGAATAAGGGAGACTTCTTCTTCCTCCCAACCTCGAGCTCCTAGCTATGGCGCAGACTTGCGCCCAACCCAACAAGCCCTCTTACCATCACACACCCTCCAGAATCCGACAGAGCAATCTGCATCACCCACGATGCCCCTTGCAGATGAACTGCCAGGGGAGCGTGACTCCCTGGATGAAGAAGATGAACACCTCCACGATGAAGAAGGAGATGGCTGTCACTTAGAGAAGAACGGGGTGAAGGACGACTTCAAGGGCAGTCCTGTCTGGCCCCAACAGCACATAGGTGAAGAGGCGCCCAACAGCAACCAGGGCCTACCCACCCTGCGCTGCCTGCAAGGAGCTGGGTCGGCCCAGCCCAGCTATGGCCGCCACCAAACCAACAGCGGTGATGATGCCTGCGCAGGAGTAAAAATAGCGCAGCAGCGTCGAGCGTCACTTCCAGCAGCACTTCCTGAACCGAATCGAAAAAGAACCCACACTCTCCCTCTCTAGACTTTTCTACTCCCCGAATCCAACAGCCTACAACAGACCTACGGACCGCTTTGTAATAACTCAGCTCAAATCATGCAATAGTGGTGGGCCATGGGTCGTCATTTCAGTCTAAGGGCCGAAACAGGGGTCAACGGCCAAGCCCAAGTCATGAAATCGCCTAAACAAAGGCCTGCTACAGTGGATACCCGAAGCAAGGCCTAAGGCGGGGCTCCGGAGGCCCAACGTGCGACAGTTGACCGTTGAAAGCCAAAGGTCAACAGCAGCTCGAAAATTCGGGCTCACGAGTCAAAGTCAACATGGATCCATCCCAGGCCACCGATCAGACACACACACTTGGCTGTTTGCAGGTATCTACCGAGAATCAAGTCCAAGTGGGAATCTGCAACCGTATGGGATCCAGGCCATTGACCGCGAGTCAATCTGGGCCATCGCATCTGAGAGACCAGAGGCTGGTCAACCGGAGTCAACACTATATGCTGACCCTGCCCCTGCTGACCGACATTTAGTCTTGCATTTGCTGCTTGACGCTGGCTTGACGCTGGCTCTCTTCACTGGCTGGACACTGGCACTGCGCTAGTTCGCCACTGGCTCTACGCTGGCTTGATATTGGGCGACGACGGGAGACTGCTGCTGCTTTGTGCTGGCGCCTTCCTCTGTCTACGGCGCCAGCTCGATTCCTGACTATGCTGATGTGGCTCTCGCCACACGGTCTACTACATTGATATTGGCGACGATGAGGAGGATCAGGGCTGTGAGATTGGTTGAATGTGACGAAAGCTTACCTGTCTGCATTCGTGTCAACATTGCGCATTGATGATTGTCTTCAAAGGAGACTGCGCCGTGTGCGCCTTGACGAGATATGTTCATTGTCAGAGCGTGCCAGAGGATACTGTCTGCTGACGTGGCGAGTAGGGGTTGCCCAAAGGAGGAGTGGGCTTGTGAGGGAGTTCTGTCTGCTGAGCTGATGGGTACTTCCTCTTCCACCCTCTAAGTCTAATCACCCTCCCATTGGCTCTTTTCGTTTCGGCGGAATGCGATGACTTTCCCGGGCGACGATCGCAAGACCCACCCTCCATGGACGGTTTTCAGGAGGTAGGCGACATCATTTCGCCGCGGCGCTACGACACCAAGCCGATGGAGTACTTAGTACACTTTGCTTATTGTAGCCATAAGGCTGACGGTTGGTTGACCCGTGCGGAACTCCAGGCCACAGCCCCCAATGTCCTCGCACATTAAGAACGCAAACAGCAAGCCAAGCCGGCACCTTCGGCTCCACGCCGTACTCGCGTCCAGGTTCCACCATCGGATCGTCAGCTTCACCCTCGACCCGGCTTGAATTCTTAAGGAGGAGGGGGTGTTACATGCTGAGCCTGCACACGGGCCCCATTTTGGGGGCCCGACGGTTGCTGGGGGGGCCCACGCCGCACGCCCCTCAGACGTGCGCCCTGGAGGCCCACAGCCGGCCTTAGGGCCGCAGGTTTCCATTTGAGGCAGCATCCATTTATTTTTATTTATTTATTTTATTAATTTATTAATTTATTTATTTATTTATTTATTCGCTGTCCTATGTTTGTCTSTTCAGGCGTCGTTTCGGACTTGCAGTTCGTCCAAACAGACTTTCGGTCTGTTCGAACAAGGCCACGTTTTTGGCCTGGTACGGACGTAGGCAGGCCCTTGTGGGCCAGGTTCGTGTGCCGACGGAAGTCTCTGGACGTCCGGTCGGGACCCAGACCAAGTAGGCCACGTTTTGGCCAAGAACCAGAGGCACACGGAGGCACACTCGCGAGGCCCAGCACTACTTATAGCTGGGCCACACCTGGGCGGGACACAGCTCGAGCAGCTCCTTTCTTGGGCGACACGCTGCTGGGGCAGCGCGACACTGCGCTGCGCTAGGGAGTAGAGGCGTAGCTAGGGCGAGGGGCGGAGGCCATACCTGCATCGTCGGTCCTCATCTGGGCGCCATAGCTGGCCCACGCCAGCAACCTGCACAGAGGGAGAGAGACACCGGTGGCAGTTAGTACACGGCGGCAGTTACCTGCAGGTGAGATCGCAAGGAGGACGACATCTTCTTCTTCTTCTTGCTCTCACCCTCCATCTCTCCTCCTTCCTCCATCCCTCTTCATCTTCTTCTTCTTCTTCAGAGAGAGAGAGAGAGAGAGAGAGAGAGAGAGAGGTTACAGGCAGAGGGTGCATCGGGCATGAAGCCCAGGATCTGATTCGACATTTTATGGCAGACATTGATTGGACATTCGGCAGGGAGATTATTTTTGGACTTAGCTATCGCGATCTTGGTCTTCTCCCCCACCTCCATCTTCGTCTCGCCTCTCTCCCGATCTCCTCATCCGTGGTATCTCCCCCCATGTGCGTGTTCAAGGAGGGGCCTTTCCTCCATGTATGCGGTCCCTCCTCCCTCTCTCACATGTGTGGTGTATGATGGGGTGTCGCGTCAGTCCCTGATAGGTCAGGTCATATCTTTGAGTCTTCCGCCGCGCTACATTGTGCTATTTTCATATGTATCTGGATGTACATTCCTTGTTGATGCTTTGCTGACACTGCATTGTCCATTCGAGTCCTTTTCATCACTTTGTGGATCCTTGACTCCCCATACATCGCTCAACTGAGCATGTATCATACTCAGACTGTTCCCGAGCCTGAAGCTTGGCAGACTCTCCTCCACCTCTTACGGGACGAATATCAAGCAAATTGGAACAAAGCGGTGAAGCTCATCAAAAAAAGACCCCACGAAACAACAGGGAATCAATGATAAGTTCAAGAGAGAACGACTGGGCGCCAGAGGTAAACTAGGAGACATCGAAGGCAGCACACCAAAGCTTGTCTGGAGGATCGCAGGGCCCCAACAGGGAGACCACCACGTAGCAACAGAAGTCCTGTCGACACTTGTTCATTCACCAACACAACCGGTCAACCTGGCCATGGTGTGACGAGGAGGCTACCGTCTTCACCCGAATAGAACGCCCGGTAATTATGGCTGTATCTGGACTGAAAGCTGCGTCAAATACAGCTATAATGACCGGGTGTTCTATTCGGGTGAAGACGGTAGTTGCAGAGAGCTATGCTGCAGGTTAGGACAAGAGATAGAAGTTTCACAGAGATTAGCCTTTTGACTCTAGGATACTACGTTCACCTGACAGCTGTGACAGATGAGAGGAGTACACAGAGCTAGAGCAAGAAAACAGTTTCGTAGAAGTAGGAAAGTAAAGGGTTAAGATATGAGTAACTAGGGATTAAGGTTTAAACCCAAGAGTTGTAGCGTCAGTTATGTGTTGTTACGCCGAGTTCGGGTCCCATTGGGGGGCCACTAGACAGCTATGTCAGCTGAGAGGGCTACATAAGGGTAGAGCTAGAACGCAGTGTGGTAGCAGTAGGAATTGTTAGGGGTTAAGAATACGAGCAATCAGGGTTTAGGGGTTAAGCCCATGAACTAGGATTTCAGTTTTAGTTAAGTGGTATACTTTGAGTCCGGGTCCCATTAGAGTCCCATCAAAAGCATAACCCTGGGTAAAGCTCCCAGACCCGGTCTTTATGTGGGGTGGCCGGCCCCTTTTTGAAGTTATCTCTTCCTTCCTGTTAAAAAAAAAAAAAAAAAAAGAAAACAAAAAGCAAATTGGACGTAAATCTACAGCAGCAGAAAAGAGATCCCTCGTACGGAACAGGTCTAGGGATCGAGTCCTAGAGAGCTCAAAATCCACACAAGTTAGAGCAGTCCCAGTTAGGCATAAGTCCAGGGATCAAACCCCGGAGTCAGCAAACTAGCAAAACAGCCCAGTTAGTATACAACCCACTAGAGCATGCATGTTCATTGCAATGTCATAGATGAAGACAGAATCCAGCCCAACAATTTGAAAATAGCGCCAATTTGAGACTGGCAAACACCTAAGACTCTCACTGAACCGCATTGTTTTCTGGACAAGTGACTTACAACCATTAATTTATGTGTAATTTTGCTACGATAGCAGCACCGCTACATAGACTGCTGCAGAAAGAAGCAGTGTGGTAGTGGGACAAAGCCTGTACGCAAGCCTTCTGCATATTAAACCAGGCGTTGATCGAGTATCCTGTTCTGAAAATAGCGGACCCCTCCTTACCGTTCATAGTCACGACCAACCCTTGTCAATTCAGGAGAGGGATTGTTCTACAGCAAGAGCATGGCAAAGGGTACCGCCCTGTAGACATTTTAAAGTGTACTCAAATCACAAGACCCAGCATTGCTTGCTGGCTGACTGGCTGGCTGGCTCGCTGGATGGATGGATGGATGGATGGTTGGCTGGGTGCCTGCCTGGATGGATGGATTGATGGATGGTGGGCTGGCTGGTGGGCTGGATGGGGGGCTGGCTGGCAGGCTGGCTGGTGGGCTGGCTGGTGCGGGCTGGCTGGCTGGCTGGGCGGGCTGGCTGGCTGGCTGGCTGGCTGGGAAGGCTGGGCAAGTTGGGCCGGCTGGGCAAGTTGGGCCGGCTGGGCAGGCTGGGCGGACGGGCTGGGTGGGCTGTGCGGGCAGGGCAGGATGGGCAGGCTGGGGGGGGAGCGGGCGGGCGGGCGGGCAGGTTGGCAGGCGGCCTGGCAGGTGGGTTGGAAGGCAGACTGGCAGACGGGCTTGTGGGCTGGTTACGCGGGCAGGCTGGGTGGGGCAGGCGGGGGGCTGGCGACCGGCCGAGCTGGAGGACAGGCAGGCAGGCGGGCGGGCGGGCAGGGTAGGTTCGCGGGCTGGCTGGACAGGCGGGCGCGCGGACGGGCGGGCGAGCGGTGAGGCAGGCGGGCTGGTACAGCGAGTTGTATTGACAACTTGAGAAGATGAGATGCGTGAGATATGTGAGGAGAAGTCCCATGGGGCTTCAGCTCTTCGAGATCCAGTCCCATGGAGCTTCTATCTTCATTTCATCAAGGCAATACCTAGAACAACACTGCTGTCATCTAATGGTGGTGGTCCTTAGCTTCACCCAACTGCCGGCTTGGAACACAGGTAGTGGTGGATATGGTGACAATTCTCGTGGGAAAAGAAAGGAAAAACAGTGGAGGTGAATTGATACGGCGCCGGAACCCTGAGGTTCTGTTTCGAAAAAAAAAAAAAAAAAAAAAAAAAAAAAAAAAAAAAAAAAAAAAAAAAAAAAAAAAAGACAGTGGAGGTGCTTACCTCTGCCCAGCGACTATGGACCAAATGCCTGCCAGCAGACACAGCCGCAACAATTTCATCATTGCAGTGAGCACCATCGTCCACAACCAAGTGGGTAGCAAACTCTGACCACTGGGCGACAACTCCGGCTCCTGCTCACTCCCAACATACACAGCAGCATCCAGGCTTCCACTCAGTGACAGCCAAACTCAAAACCAGTTTAGTCTTTTTTAAGTTTTTTAAACTTTTTTTATCTTTCCTTCTTTTTGAGAGGCCAAGATTTCCAGAGTCTAACTGCTGGCGACTTCAACCCCTATATGAGCACACGCTGTACAGCATGAAAAGTGGCACACCTTCTTCCCCTCCTCCTCCTTTGTCGCCTTCCTCTCCTTCCAGCTTTTGGGGCCTTTTATTTTCCGGCCATGTTTTTGGTAGTTTAAGTTGATAGAGCAAACTTGGTACAGCTGACATATTTCGCCGAGAAGTGCACATCTTTTTCTTTTTCTAATTTTTTTTGTACCCTTGAAGAATGCCTTCATCGGAAGTTCATCCCATAAATGGTATGTGGTGGATTTGTGAAGCACCTTTCTCTATCCAATGGGCCCATCTTGGTTCCCCTCAAGGGAGTTCTTTCCGTTTATGTCGATGAGGTAAGTCACTTAAGTGCGTCCTAAATTAGCCATCCTTCAGGAGATCACAGCCGTTAAAATTGGAAAGATAAAGACAAGATTAATTTAAATAAATTACCATGGCCCTTGTGCACGGATGACATCAAGACACAAAAATTGAGAAACGGCCAGAATATGAAAAATAAAAAGTGTCTGCATTACGGCATGACTGTATGTCGGTAACAGAATAGGTTTCTATGTTCTACGGAACTTCTACCTCTCGAGCAGTAGTGGGGACCACCTCACTAGTAAAAAAACTGTTGCTCTGGGAACGAAGCTGGGAAGTTGGGACCAAGTTGGGACCAAACCAAATTTGGAGAGTGGAACCAAACCAGGCTTGGAAGTCAGAAGCACACCAAGCTCCCTGCCAAGTGCCAACTGATCTTTTCTTTGTTTTCTCTCTTTTTCTCTTTTTCAGAGTTTTCTTTTTTTCCTTTTATTTCTTTTTTTCTTTTTTTCTTTTTTTTTCCCTTTTTTTTCCTTTTTTTTCTTTCTTTTTTCCTTTTTTTTCCTTTTTTTCTTTCTTTTTTTTCTTTTCTTTCTTTCTTTCTTTCTTTTTTCTTTTTTTCTTTTTTTTCTTTTTTTTTTTTCTGTTTTTCTTTGCCTTTCAAAACGAATCAAAAGTGACACAATTTGGAGTTTGCTTGATTCTTTTCCCAATTGATTGATGAGAAAATCGGAAAAATGTGCGAGAATCTGGGTCCTCGGCAGGCCTGAAGGGCCCCTGTTGCGTATGTGCCCGCCCTAAGTGAAGGCGGGCCAAACAAAACACGAGAGGCCCTCGGCTGTCAACTGCGTATTTGGGGTCCAGACAGTTGCGACGCGCCAGTTGGTTAAAGGAAACTCGGGCCGAGCAGCAAGAAAATTCCACGGCCTTCCTGGCCCTTCCGGAAGTGCAGGCCCTGGGCAAGAATCGCAGCCAGAGGCCCAACCGGATGAGGCCCAGTAGCCGCAGCAGAGGTGCAGCGTACAGGGGCCTACCGGAAGCTTCTGGGCCGAGGCCCAGGCCAGCCAGGCCTCCAATCGAGGCAGGCTCTTTCCATATAGGAAAGAGCTCGCTGCCTGGCTGGTCATTCAGGCACTCGCATGCTAGCGGCAGCACTGCTGGAGCGGACGCTCATGGGCTGCTGCTGGCGCTGAGAGGCGAGGTGCTAGCGCATGCGGTTGTGAAGGGAGCAGGGCGCTGCTGAGGACAGCGCCATAGCCCAGCCTCCGTAGCTGGTTGGGCTTGGACTACAGTGAGGCGCAGGGGTGGTCTTCGGGTGCGCAGAGGGAAGACGTGGGAGTAAGACAGGGAAGAGAGAGAAGGATGATGATGATGGTGATGTGAGGGCACATACCTGGTATTGGCGATGGTCTGCATGGGCGACATCTTCAAGTACTTTGTAGGCTGCTGACGTCAACAATTGCATTGTCAATTAGTACGCAGAGAGTAACTGTGTAGGAAGTAGGCTGGGCGCCGAGCGCCAAGTAGGGAGATAGGGCCTGGACAGTCATGTTGGTGGTGGCGAGAGCAAGCTCTCATTGACATTGGTTTTCAGTGTTACGAATCTTCATTGGTGTTATATTGGTGCATTTCTGCTTTTCTGCCCTTCAATGTGATTGTGCAATCTGGTTATCGTCATCTCGCTAATGCTCATTTTCCTTGCAAATGGTACACTTGCCAGCAAATTTTGGAGGAGGGACGACTACGTCCGTCTCCACTTTAGAATCGGAGTGGAAATGGATATACGAGCTCGGTGGAGAAAGTGCAGGCTGCAGCAGGGGTCACCCAGCCCATGCGGCTCAATGGTACACAGTAGTACTACACACGCATAACTTTTGATAAACAGATCGCGAGTTCAAATTCTTACTAAATCCGATGGATACAATAATATTAGGGGCTACCCTCCCCCTCTTCCCCTGTCTGAAAAGGGAGATAAGAAAGTGGGGCACAAGTCCAGTCTTCCCACTCACACCAGCCAAAAGAGTCCTCTACAGACCATGGGCCTCGCTCCACTACTCAACGTTCTACATGCATTTGGACGCTTTCTGGAAAAGGTGCACTTTCCCCCTCGGAAAAAGGAGATAAGAAACCGGGGTGCACAAGTCCAGTCTTCCCACCCACACCAGACAAAACAGTCCTCTACAGACCATGGGCCTTGCTCCACTACTCAACGTTCTCCATGCATTTGGACGACTTTCTGGACCAGGTGCATTATGACGAGTCCAACATTTTGAATGTATTGGGACGATTATCAGCCCCAGATACATATCGAGTGGGTTGTGTAGTGGAGCGACACCCCATAGATTATATACCAAACATGCATCCCAAGCTTCTGACTCCACGTTGCATCCAGTCACTTTACCATTCTCCTACCACAAAACATCACTTCTCATCACAAATAGGATTGTTTTTTTACAAACAAAAAAAAAAAAAAAAAAAAAAAATCATCAAATAGACTTTGCTCGCGGCCAGTCTATTTGATCAACCCTGTGCTATGGAATAGATTAGAGTCGATAGACAGTATTAGACACTGCAATTTTTTTCTATTTTTTCGTAGGCCTACCTGCTGACTTAAGATTGTGGGTCAATTGCCGTCGTCTTTCACTTTCGACCACAGATGACACACAGGCAATTATGGGCTTGCACTCCAGTCTTCCCCCAGGCACCCAGCAAACACCATGCGGCATGTGCACAGGCCACCATCAATCACACAACAACCACATTACCAACACAAAGTCAGCAAGATCCTTCCCGGAGAGCCTCGGTGACGGACAAAGGTGATGAACATCGCCTGACAAACCACAATAACTTGCTGTTGCAGCTGTGGTGTTGCTGCAGTTTCGTCGATGTTGGTCCCTTGCACCATGCAGCAGCCATCAATCACTCCCAGCCTGCACTCACATCAATCATACTTACCTTGATGATGACATGTGCATGAGGTTACATTTGTTTTGCATTACGAGTTTGAAGTTTTGAACTTTGAAATAATAACTTCCATCTACAGTATTCGTATGCGCTGTCACAGATTGGCTGTGAGTCGGCAATCTCACCAAAAACAATGCGTTCGAGTAAAAGTGGAACCTGAGAGACACAGAGAACCTGGTCATTCAGCCTCGCCACACGGCACATGTAACGGAAAAAAAAGAACGAGTGCATGTGCCCACAAAAGTTGGAAAACTGCATTCGTGCGAGGATTTAGCACTTCGGCAAGCCAGAAAAATGCCCAGCCCACGCTAAGTGAAGGCGGGCCTAAAGAAATGAGCCCAGGCCTGAGTACAGGCCAACGTGAGCAAAATGGGGGCCCCATGTAGTTGCTGCACGGATGCAGCATCTTCACATAACTGGTAGAGGGCTCAGCCCACGACTTAGTTAAAGACGCTGGGCCTCGTGCAGATTCTGAAAGGGCCCACCAGGGCGCAGGTACTGGGACTGGGCGCAGCATGGACAGAGGCTGCACGGCCTCCCCAGCCAGCACAAAAGGCTGGAGGGCGCAGCACTTGACATAGCCCGAGCAGCTGCTTAGCATGTGCGGCCAGAGAAGGAAGCTGTTCGGGGGGGGCAGCGTGGAAGAAGGGGGTGTGGCAGCCGTAGCCAAGGTGCGCATACCATAGCTGAGTGGTGGACTGGCAGAGGTTCTTCTTCGTGGAAGAAGGGCGCAGGGAGAAGAGGAAGAGAGGCAGTGTGAAAAGGCACGTACCTGGTTTTGACGAAGGGCAGGCTGTTCGATCAGAGTCTTCGAGCGACATTAGGGATCGATCATGAGACATGGACCACTTGCAGACATGAGTGGGCTAGTCCGATAGGTGCCGTGGGAGGTAGAGTTGGCAGTATAGCCTCCTGTAGGAGGGCTACATTGTTGTTGCATTGGTGATTGGACGCATTGGAGGGGCTTGCATTATCAAGAGAGACTTCAGTACTTCGCTCGCTCCTATTTGGAGTGAATACTCACTTTTCTTTCTGCTTTCAATTTCGCTTCAATGACATGTGTGGCCTTCTGTGAGGTATAGCAACCTGGCTTTTTTCTTTTCTTTTTCTTTTTCTTTTTTTCTTTTTTTTTTTTTCTTTTTTTTTTCTAGGCTACACAGAGTGGCCCGGGTCCACTTGCCCGGCCCGGCCAAAAAGAAATAAAAGAATAAAAAAATAAAAAATATATATATACAGGGTTACCGGCGTTCGGGACGGGCCGAACGCCTGAACCCGAACGCCCGAACCCGAACGCCCGAACGTACGGGACCCCTTCGGAAGGCGTTCGGCCATTCGGGCCGAACGCGGACCAAAAAAAAAAAAATCCGAAAAAAACATATGTTATGGAGAAAAATAAACTAATCAACATTTGCCTGGGCACTACATTCAAATTCTTTACCAAATTGGAATTAAAAATCAAATACAGAAAATAAACACTATGATTAAAATAGGAAAAAATAAAAAGAGAATTGAAATGAGTGAGTGTGCCAGCACCTTTTCGACACCGCCATCTTAGCCAATTTTTAATTATTTTTTGGCATCGACAAATGCCCTGAAAATTTACAGATATGTAGTTTACATAATCAATAACTTATTAAAAATGTTTCAAAAAATAATAATTTTTTTTAGGCCCCGAAATAAAGTGAAAACAAAAAGTTAAAAGTGAAAGAAAACAAAATAGCGAGTGGGCGAGCACGTTTTGACACCCCCATCTTTGACGATTTTTAATGTTTTTTTGGCTTAGCAGAATGGCTTCAAAATTTATAGGTGTGTAGGTTACATCATAGAGAACTCACAAAAAAAAAATCAGAAACAAAACCTTATTTTTAGGACCCGAAAAGTTTTTTGGCGGGGGCCGAACCTGGAGGTGTTCGGCCCCCGAACGGGACCCCGAACGCCTGAACGTTCGGGGGCCAGCCCGGGGGCCAGCCCGGGGGCCCCCGAACGTTTGGTCAGGTAACCCTGTATATATATATTTTTTAATCTATTTCAGGGTTGCCGGCGTTCGGGACGGGCCGAACGCCCGAACGTATGGG